TTAAAAAAATAATTAGAAATAAATAAAAGCTTCATTTGAACGAAAATGGATCTTGTCAAAGAATAGAAATTGAAATTTTATACAAATTTTAAAAACAAAAAATAATTAGAAATGAATAAATACTTTTGTTTGAATGAAAATATAACTTGCCAAAGAATAGAAATTAAAATTTCTTAAAAACAAATTTTTGTCAAAAAATAATTACTGAAATTTTACACAAAAGAATAAGTGCAACAAGTATACATGTCACTGTATTGTAATATATATTAGTTACCTGATTTTATTAAATTACAATTATATATAATTTTTAAGATTAGCGATTATCATTATATAAAGAATTTTTTTTTTATCATACATACTAACATATCTGTATTTATTATCTGTTATTTTTTTAACATTTTTCAGATATTCTTTAAACTTTGCCTTTAGAAATTTCTTTGTTTTCACATATTATTTTTTGTTTTTTTAGCATGTTTAATATAGCAACTTCTTTTTCTTTTTAGGTTTCTCTCTTTCAGTATTTATAGCATAATCTTTATAATAGACTTTTGACTTCACTTCTTATATTCTTGGCATTTTTTCTACAAATATCTTTTTTTTTTTTTAGCATGCTAATTTCTTTCTTTTTTTTTTTTAGATTTTTAGATTACTTTCCCATTGCTTTTGACATTTATATATAAATATTTAGAATGGACATTCTTGGTATTTTTTTCCTTTTATATAAATATTCTTTTTTTTTTTATTAGTACAGTATAATTTATGATCTTTATATGCAATTAAATCATGTAAAAAAACATATATATATGTTGTACCTAAAAGCTGCAAAAGATCTAACAGCTTTAACATTTGTCATCCCCCTCTATAATCACACATTTTGTATACTTAATAAATTTTTTAAAAAATATGCTTATAAAGAGGTTGTGCTTATATAGAGGTAGTTTTTTATATATTTACTAGTAATTTGTTTTTGAATATAAAATGTGATAAAGAGGGGTTTTTATATGATGTGATTATAAAGGGGGTAACTATAGAGGGAGATGACTATATACTAACTTCTTTATTCTGTTTCTTCTATTTCTTTTTAGGTTTCTAGGTTTTTTCATTGTTTTCGAAGTTTATAGTGTGGATCTTTAGACTGGACCTTCGACTTCTCTTCCCAAGCTTTTTTTTTTTTTAAACAATATATTAAGCTTTTTCTTTCTTTTAGATTTTTAGATTTCATTCTCATTGCTTTTGGTATTTATAACATAGATTTTTAAAAATAGACTTCAGCTTCGCTTCCTGTATATTCTTGACTTTTTTTTATAATATCCTTTTTTTTTTAAATTAGTATATTAAATTTTCCTTTTAGGTTTCTAGATTTCTTTCTCGTTGCTTTTGATTTTTGTAGTATAAACTTTAGAATAAATCTTTGACTTCGCTTTCTAGAGTTTTCTTTAAGAAAATTTTTTTCGAATGTCTTTTTTTTTTTTTTATTAGTATACTAACTTCTTATTCTGTTTCTTTCATTTTTTTTAGGCTTCTAGATTTTGTTCTTGTTGCTTTTGATATTTATAATACAGATCTTTAAAATGGACCTTTGACTTTGCTTCGTGGAGTATTTTTCATTGCTTAGAGTTTTTTTTCAAATATTCTTTTTTTTTTTATTAGTACACTTGATTCTTTTTTTTGTTTTTTTTTAGGCTTCTAAGTTTCTTCCTTGCTACTTTTGACATTTATAGTATAGATCTTTAAAATAGACTTTCGACTTCGCTTTCTGGAGATTTTTTGGTATTCTTGAATTTTTTTTTTAATATGAACATTTTTTTTTACTAGTATACTAACTTTTTTTTTCTGTTTCCTTTTAGATTTTTAAATTTCTTTATTGCTTTTAGTGTTTATGACATGGATCTTTAGAATGGACCTTCGGTTTGGTATATTGTTGACTTTTTTTTTTATTAATATTTTCTTCTTTTTTTATCAACATAATAACTTTTTCTTTTTAGATTTCTATTTTTTCTTACTTTTGATTTATAGTGTGAATTTGTAAAATGGATCTTTAACTTTACTTCTCATTTCTTTTTAGTGTTTTTGGCATTTTTTTATTTTTGTTTTTTATATAAATATTAATTTTTTTTTACTAGCATATTATCTTTTCTTTCAAGTTTGTAGATTTATAGTGTGAAACTTAAGTATAGTCTTCAACTTCTTATTACTTTCAGCATTTATGGAGTAGAAATTTGGATAGATTCGACTTTAATTTTTTGTGTTTTTTTATATATATTTATAATTTTTTAAATCAATATTAAAGCTACTATTAAAGTCACTGTTGAAATTATTACTGGAATTGCCATTGAAGTTGCTATTGAATTGCTGTTAGAGTTACTATTAAGTTATTAATATTTTCTGAAATTTTTGTTAAGATTTTTATAAAAATTTTATTTGTTTTGAATAGTTGAATTGTTGTATTTTATAGAGTTGTTTTTTTTTTTTTTTTTTTTGTATAATGATTAAATAAGTTTAAATTGTTTAATAAAAAAAAATTACTATTTTATATAAATTATTTAATAGTTTTATATTTTATATAGTATTGATAAGCCACTATGAATATCTGATATATATAATATTAAGAAAAATAAGATACTTATCAGATTATTTAAATACAAATTGAGATAACTGATATGGCTATGATAGATATTCTAAAGCTTATTGCAAAAATCTGATATGTATCTAGTTTTCTAATAATATAGTAGAAAATAAGTTACAAATACAGTATCAGATATTACCAAATTTAGATGATGCAGATCATATTTTTTTTGTATAATTAGAAAATTCTAGACATTTCTATTTAAGTTTATTTTGATTTATAATGATATTTAGAGCTAAATTTACATCCAATCATCTTTTATCTTTGTATTTGGTAAACAACTGCCTTTTAAAGCTCCCGGGATCATGCGGAATTTCTGGACTATATAATTACAGGACAATCTATATTAAAATCAATTCGAAGATTTATTATTAAATGAATTTTTTTTTTAAAAAGATAAAAATACTATGTTTTTTAATTCTAGAATAGTCTTTTATTAGTGATAGGCTGATTTCCTTATTTGGTAATATCCGAGACTGAAATAAGATACCAATCAGGTAACTAATATTAATATAATCTGCATTGTATATATTTCCAAATAGTACCCTATTTTTATAGTTATATTGTAAACAATAAGATACAAATTGGATAAATATCAAGTAAGCGATATGAATATAATTTGTATTCTATATATTTTTAAATAGTACTTTATTTTTATAGTTATATTGTAAACAATAAAATACAAATTAAATAAATATCAGGTAACTAATATAAATATGACTTGTATTTTATATATGGGGGGCTGCCAGTAGAAACCAAGCAAATTGTTTTTAAGTAAATTTTTTTAAAACTTTAAAATAAAATATCTCAACAACTATTAAACCAAACTTGATAAATTTTTTTATTATTTTAATTTTATATAGTTATAGAATTAAAATAAAAAAAAATTTATCAAGATTAATTTAATAGTTGTTGAGATATTTTGATTTAAAATTTTAAAAAAACTCATTAAAAACAATTTGCTTGGTTTCTACTGGCATCCCCCCATATTTCCAAATGGTATGCTATCTGCACCAAAAATCTGTTTATAATCAAAGACAAATCAGATATTTTTAGAAAAGCTTTACCAGTAAGCTAGCATGTTTCTATAATACAAAAATAAGAGACTTATCGAGAACTTGATAGTTAACTGGTATATATTTATTCAACTTGTAAAGGCTTCCTTTTATAACTTTTTTATATATAGAAGATGTAACAGAATAACTGCCAGACTATGTAAAGGTAAGCAGAGATACTCATGTAATGATACTAAAAAGTACTTAAAGAAGAGTCAGAAATCAGCTGATTTTCTAGGGGGAGGGGCTGAAAAAGTGAAAATTCAATATGAAGACCTGACTAAAAGAAAGAGGGGTCAAAATTTTGGCCAAAATCAAATTAGCTGATTCCTGGCATTGCTTTTATGTAAAGATACTTGTGTAGAGATACTAAAAAATATTTATATAAAGGTACTGAGAGATATTTATATGAAAATACTGAAACATAGGTCGAATAAAGACAAATCAGGCATCATGTAACCCCAATATAAAACTGATATTTGGCTCAAATAAGAGACTTTAAGATATAAATTAGATTTATATAGGCGTTTAATACATATCAGATATCATAGAAGGACTTTCATATTGTCATATAAATTCCGAATATTCTATCGAAAATATCAGAAATTATGCTAGACTAGTGCCGGAGGGACAGTATTTAAAAGAGAATTAGGTAAGTTGGGCAGTTTAATTGTGGATGAATTTTAATAATTAGAGTAGTTTATATGAATTTTATTATGTGTTAAGACAAGATTGAGTGGAAATGTCTTTTTAAAGAGTGAAAAGACTTCTTTAAATACATTCGTTTTTCCTGCATCACTGCAGGCTTGATAGATAGTGTGGGTTACAGCTAGGTCGTCTAGTCTGCATAAACAGCTTGTTTTATGGGTCGTAGAGAATGTATAAACGGCTATGCATCCCGGGTTATTATAGTGCACGATCATGTGTATCGTGTAGCGATCCCATGACTATGAATGCGACGTTGCTATCTACCTACTCTAATCTATCTATATATATACTTAACTATTCTAAATACTAGCCTATTCTACTCTATATATGTATATATAACTAACTGTAAATATAATAAATAAAATAAAGAAATAAATAAATAACTATAACAAATACTTAAATAAATAAATAAAGCAAATGATAGTACTAAATAAATAAATAAATAAATAGATAGCTACAACCTATATTATAACCCAGAAAGAATCAATAAGACTTAAATAAAAAAAATATATATATAACTAACTAACTAACTAACTAGTGTAATAATATATAATGATATATGATTGTTTTACTATTATAAGAAAATATTTAATTTTGTCACATTTCCCTCCTTAAGAAGCGAGGTCTTCTGAAGCGTTAAATGAGTTCCTCATATCCCAGGTAATGAAGTCTAGACTGGTCTGAGTATATGGTAAGAACTTGTTATTGTAGTCTTTATCGGTGAGACCATCCAAAAAGTGTAGGGATATTTTCCGAGTTTGGTATATTTGTTCTGGGTTTCCTCTAATATCTCCAGGACTCGTTTGGCTCCTCAGTACAATCGCCATTCACACCTGAGGCCATTACTCTCCACGTATTCTAGCCACTTAGCTCGGCCATTTTCGATTTTTAGCAATTCGTCTAGGTAGTACGAATTTGCTAATAATCGAATGCAATATTTGTCTTTCATAGCTTTTTGACACTCATAAACTACTTTACTTAGAGCCGTCTCCCAAAGGTCATTTGTGTTGTAAGATGATAAGAATCTTAAAAGAGTCTGTTCCTCAAGCGAGTAGTAATCGATGACATTTTCAACGAGGTGGTTATGAGCCGATTGTTGCCTGGTCACGTGCAAGCAGGTCATTCTTTTTAATGATCATTGATTATCTGATGGTGGCTGTGTTTTACTTTGAGTTCTCTTCCTTTTTTTTTTTTTTGATTTTAATTTTTGTAGGTTGCTTCTTTTGTTCTCTTCTTTATATTTTGGAGCCACTTTTCGTTCGTTAGTAATTATTTTTCTTCTTTCATACCATCATGATTGGCTTCTATAGTAGTCGTTCGAAATATAGTTTAAGGCGATCTGTGTTAACTGGTCTTCTCAGAATTTTACCGGAATCGGTGGTATGAAGCTTATAGATGCCTGGTGCTGTTAGGTCATGGATATAATAGAGACCTTTCCATTTTTCTCAAAACTTGTCCCATGCACCTTAGCTTCTGCAGATCTGTATAGCAGTACCTTATCCCCAATATGGAACTTTGTATCCTTTACTTGCTTGTCATATCTCTCTTTTTGTTTTTTCTGGCCTAGTTTGATATTTTCGCTTGCCTCTATTTGTACTTGTTATAACCTTTCTGTAATATAGTCAATATGGCTTTAAACTTGTAGGTCATATGGGTGGTCTGGGTTGTCTTTTTGGTTACCTTCTTGCAGTTCTATGGGCAGTATGGCTTTCCATTCATACAACAATTAGAAAGGTGTATATTTTGTCATGACCTGGGGCACCATTCAGTAAGCAAATAGGACAGCTTGTATGAATGAATCCCAGGACTCTTCGTAGTCGCAAACATATTTGGAAAGGGTGTTACAGAGTGTCTTATTAAACCACTCTGTAAGTTCGTTCGTCTGGGGATGGTAGGCTGAAGCTAATCTATACTGGACTCCTATTAATTGACATAGGGCGTTGACCACTTCATTGCAAAAGGGGGTACCTTGGTCGGATAAGAGTTCTTTTGGGCAACTGTGACGAGTGATAATATCTTCATATATGAACTGAGCAATTGTCGTAGTCTTCATATTTGGTATGGCTCTAGCTTCTGGCCATTTGGTAAGGTATTCGGTGGCTACAATGATGTATCGGTTCTCTTTTGGAGTGATTTTGAGAGGTTCTATGATATCTATCCCAAAATGGTCGAAGGGAGCATCCACAGGTATGGGATGTAATGATTCGTTCTTTCTTGTATGCCCTTGTCTTTGGCAAGTGTCACATGTCTGAATATATTGGGTTATACTTTCATATATTCTGGGCTAGTAAAACCGATTTCTGGCCTTGTTGTAGATTCCTGTTATTCCAAAGTGTCCAGCAAGGACATTTGTGTGGAGGTTATGCAAAATGGTTTCTAATTCGTGAGTTTGAATCACCTTGAGGGAAGTAGATTGAGTATCCTTTTTATTATTTCTTTTATATAATTGTTGATTTATTTGTATAAATTGACTTGCTTTTTGCTTAAATTGTTTTTGTTGGGTTGTAGTTAAGTGCAGGGGTATCAAAAGTGTTGTTAGGTAAACTAAAATGTCTGAGTATTGTTTGGGGTCCATTTTTTTTTTGTAAATTTAATGGTGCGATTTTGTTATTAAAAGGATTCAAGATGTCTGTTTTAATTATTTTTTTTTTTTTTTTTTTTTTTTTTTGTATATATATGAACATCTACTTATTATTTTAATTTGCTTTCCCTTATAGTGGTTTAAAAGAGATTCTTAATAGGGTATCGACATTGGAGTGGACATGGCCTTTCCGGTGCACGACCTTATAGGAGTAATCGGCAATCTTAGCGATCCATCAATATATCCTTTTATTTGGGTTGGGTTGATTAAGTAACCATTAGAGGGCCGAATGGTCAGTAACTAATTCAAAAAGACGCATGTATATATATGGCTAAAATACTCCATTCCCCAAACGGCTGCTAAGTATTCTATTTCCATAGGTGAGTAGTTGACTTCGGCGGAACCCAAGGTCCTACTAGCATAGGCTATGATGTGCTCATAGTTATCTATATTCTTCTAAGCCAATATAGCACCTAGACCTTGATATAAGGCATCAGTATAAAGGATGAAAAGTTGATCAAAATCCGGATATTGGAAGATGGGTGCCCTTGTCAGTCTTTCCTTAAGTAAGTCCATTGCTTGTTGACACGCCTGGGTTCAAATAAAAGGTGTGTTTTTCTTTAGGAGTCTATTTAAGGGCTCAACAATCCTAGCGAAGTTAGCAATGAAGCACCTATAGTATGATGATAGGCCTATAAAACTGCATATCTCAGTGGGGTTTCTAGGAGTAGAGAAATTTTGCACCTTGTTAATTTTTGCGAGGTCGGGTATTACACCCTTTTCCCCTACAATATGACCTAGGAATGCTAGTTCCTTTTTAGAAAATTGACATTTGTCTCTCCTTAACTTCAACCCTGCTTGAGATAGCCGCTAGAACACTTCTTTCAGATGTTGTAGGTGTTGAGTAAAGGTTGAAGAATATATAGTGATGTTGTCCAGATAGACTAACATAAATTTTTCTTTTACATCCATAAACAGACGGTCCATCACCCTTTGGAAAGTTGCGGGGCGTTAGTGAGTTCGAAGGGCATCACATTGAATTCGAAAAGCCCAAATTTTGTGATGAAGGCCGTCTTTTCATGGTCCTCTCGCCTAACATCAATCTGCCAGTACCCACTGGCTATATCCAATGTGGAAAACCACTTGGCTCCTTTTATGGCATCAAGGATTTCGTCGATCCTGGATAAGGGATACACATCTCGCTTAGTAATTTTATTTAACTTTCGATAGTCTATATATAGTCTCATTTTTCATTCTTTTTCTTGACTAATACCACTGGGGACGACCATGGGCTTTTGGATGGTGCTATTAACCCATGTTGGAGCATCGACTGTAATTCTTGTTGGATAAATTCATGCTCCGCGGGAGATATTCGGTAAGCCTTCTGATGTATAGGAGGTACGTGTTCGGTAATAATTTGATACTCATCTACATTTGTATACCCCAAGTTGTGTAGTCCTTACGAAAAGAGAGTTTTATGCTTCTTTAGAAAATTATCCAACTGTTTCTGTTGCTCCGTCATTATCATGTTAGGTGGGTGTTTAATTTCGCTTATATCATCCTTTTCTGTAAAATATTGAATTATGTTCCTTATTTCTAAACATTTCTCACACCCTGATAGTGTCCTTGCACATCAACATTTTGTTACCTTCGGATCTAACGCCTTATCTATTTCTGGGTCATATCCTTCCATGGTTATTTTTCTATAGGAGAATTTATCTGCCTCTATTTCTAAAATTAGTTTTTCTCTTATATTATTTCTTCCCGTTCTAATTCTTCTTCATATTCTTCTTCACTAGATAAATCTTCTGGTTCTTTTCACCTATTATATTTTGGCTTAATAACTATCGGGTCGCCATCTTGGTATTGAGGCTTTTCCCAGCAGGTAATAGATATGATATACGACTGATCATTCCATTCATACTTAAATTCTCCAGTTTTTAAATCAATAATTCCTTTTAACTTATTAATCTATTCTACACCAACTATTATGGCATATCCTTGGGTATCATTTACTTCTACGTCCACCAGTATTCTCGTTTTATTTATTAATTGTATGGGAATTTGTTTAATTTGTCCTAGTGACCTTTTCTTTTCACTATTTATGTCTACTATGTTGCAATTAGAGAGATTTTCAATTTTTTGTTTTAGTTTATCCACGAACACCTTTGACATTATGCTGCATATCAATCTGGTATCTAAAATAAGATAAAAGAGTACGTTATCTACTTTGGCATTATAGTATACAATATCTACTGCATCTTGTTGTTTACTTTCGACCATCGTTATTAATACTGGTATGTCTATTTTTTTTTTGCTTAAGTTTGTCATACTATTGTTATTGTCTTTTACCAGTGAGAGTTCTGGTTTTGATTTGTTTAACTCTGGATTATGAAAGTTCAAGTGTTTAATCGTTTGAATAGGGATAGGGAAGGGTAGATCATTAAATAAATTATTACTAGCATGGGGATTAGGTGAGCTTGAATTGATACGATTATTAGCTTCGATAAAGGGAAAGGCACTACCGCCCTTATGGCATACTTTTATTAGTTTAAAGATTGGGCCGTGGTTCTAATGAGATCCTGTAGATCATCTCTAGTAAAAGTGAAGTAGGTAGGAGTATTGTGATTATTTGCTTGTTCCCTGCCATTATCATGATTTCTATTGTCATTGTTATTATTATTGTTGCCGTTGCCACGATTATTATTGCTGCCACCATGGTTGGTATTACCTTGATTGGGGTGGTTATTACTATAATTATAGTTATCACCATTATGATTATCATGATTATGATGGTTATAGTTATGGTTGGGATAGGTTGGTCAGTTTTGGTTGTTTCTAAGTGGGCCACTGTTTTGAGGTAAAAATGGGGCCCTATTTCCCTTTGGCCTATTTAAACCCCGATAATCGCCATTATGTGGTCGGTTAGAGAAACAATTCCTAGCTGAATGTCCTCTAGTATTACACCACTGACATACCAACAGGGGTGTAGTGTTGTATGCGGGTTGTGTTGGCGTAGTGGGTATATTACCTAGATAAGATCTTTTCATAGCCTTGGCCAACTCTCCAATTTCCTTCCTTAGTTTCGTTAGTTCTGAATTTTCAGCCTCGCTCTTCCTATTTAGGTAGCTTCTCCTTAATGAGTATGAGCTGAGTAGGAAACTGCGGGAAAATGCAGCTTCAGCTACTTTGGCCTTGGTAAGAGCTTGACCTAACGTAGTTGGGCAGGCTATTTCTACGGGCTCCTTTAATTCTTCCCGTAGGCTATCTATAAACTGGCATAACTTATCGGTAAGAGGGTATCGTTCCTCCGGGTCAGCTTTTCGATAAAGATGGTCCAGGTCGGTATAGTATTCCTCTATGGTTTCTCCAGGCTGTTGTACTCGATTCCTTAGATCAGTTATCCATCGAGACTTTTGGTGTGGGGTGCAGAATTGCTTTTTGAAGAGGTGCACGAAAGAACGATTATATCTACGGCTCTCCCAGTGCCTAACTTGTTCGGATATCTTCTTCCACCAACTATTGGCGGGTCCCTTCAAATAGGTGGGTAAAATGGTTATTATCCTTTCCTCATTAATAATATTGGCTTGACAGGCGTCTTCATATTCTTCTATCTAGCGGAGAGGGTCTTGCTCATCTCCCTTGAAAGTGGGAATTTTAATCAGCTGTGTTTCCCTATTAGTGCTTCTATTACTACTCTTTTCCATGGCTTGTATTAGCCTATTAAAATGGTACAACATTTGCTGCGCCAGAAGTTCTGGAGGTATAGTTTCTGGGGGAATACCTCTTAGGTTGACATGAGGCTATTGAGGTAGTGGACTTGCCCTGCCACCAATGTGGTCGTCATTATTATTGTCTGTCCCATTATTATTATTGCCATTGTTATTTTGATTGTTATCCAGTGTAACTGGGGCTCTAGGTAGCGTAGGTTGGTCCTGATCAGGCCAATGGATAGGGTCGGCCCGTGGGGACTGATGTGTGATTCTAACTCCGGTGCTGGTACCAACGCTGATGCTATTGTCTTCTTCATCAGCATCGATAACTACTCTTTGTAAGGGGGCGTATTTTATTCATCTCCTTCCCTCATTACTCCCAGAAAGAATGTAGAGTCTATCTGATTCTTCCCCGGAGTCATATTCATCTTCGGAGTGTCGTGGGGTGCGATAGTTATAGGGTTGATACTGTATTCTATCTCCATTCTAAGGATCGACGTCTTCCATTTTGGCAGTGTCTTGCGGATGTTCTGTTTCAGTGCTAGAGCTTTCGGCGGGCAAAAAAGTAATGGGTGATTGGGTTTGTGTAAACGAGGTATCGGTGTCTTCGAAAATTCAGATTCTGGGTAGGGTTTGGCTCATCCACTAGCGTAAATTGGCGAACCCTTAAGCTTGCTTCAATTGGGTTTGAATAAAGTCCACTTGTTCTAGGGTTCGTCTAGTGATGACAAAAGAGCCATCCTCCTGTTCGCAAGAATTTATAAGTGTGTCTAGTCGTTTATTGAGGCTATATTCATACCAAATAGCCTTATGAACGAGTTTAGTTAAAAATGGGTCAAAGAGATTGTTTGGTTCTGAAGTTTTGTTGTTTGTTTCAGTTAGTTGTCTATCACTATGATTCATTAAATTTTTATTCCTTTTAGGAAAACGGGTCTTGTTGTCATCGCCAAATATCATATAAATTCCGAATATTTTATTAAGAATATCAGAAATTATGCTAGACTAGTGCTGGAGGGACAGTATTTAAAAAGGAATTAGGTAAGTTGGGTGGTTTAATTGTGGACGAATTTTAATAATTTAGAGTAGTTTGTATGAATTTTATTATGTGTTAAGGCGAGATTGAGCGGAAATGTCTCTTCAAAGAGTAAAAAGACTTCCTTAAATATATTCATTTTTTCTGTATCACTGCAGGCTTGATAGATGGTGTGGGTCGTAGCTAGGTCATCTAGTCTGCATAGACAGCTTGTTTTATGGGTCATGGAGAATACATAAACGGCTATACGTCCTGGGTTATCATAGTGCACGATCATGTGCATCGTGTAATGATCCCATGACTATGAATGCGATGTTGCTATCTACCTACTCTAATCTATCTATATATATATTTAGCTATTCTAAATACTAGCCTATTCTACTCTATATACATATATATAACTAACTATAAACATAATAAATAAAATAAATAAATAAATAAATAACTATAACAAATACTTAAAGAAATAAATAAAGCAAATGATAGTACTAAATAAATAAATAAATAAATAAATAGCTACAACCTATATTATAACCCAGAAAGAATCAATAAGACTTAAATAAATAAAAAAATATAACTAACTAACTAACTAACTAGTGTAATAATATATAATGATATACGATCATTTTACTATTATAAGAAAATATTTAATTTCATCACAATATAATTAGCTGATGAAATCAATTGCCCAGATAACTTATTTATACACTTTAAAGTACTTTTTGAAAACATAATGTTTTACTAATAAAAATTGTTGCAAAAGTCATTATTAGCTTTAGACAAATGTTAATATTCACTGTGCAAAAGAATCTAAAAAGAATCCTACTTCTCACTTATTTTATTTAAAAGTGAATATTTTTACTATTTATTATAGTATTAGTTATATTACTGTATTAACTATATATATAAGTTCTAAATACTAGAAACAGCCAACAAAAATAAAAAGAAGATTGAAACGTTATATATAAGATCCAAACCTAAAAAAATTTGTTATACCGTTTAGCATGCTATTATAATAAAAAGCTTATACTAATACTCTTATTTTATTTTATTTTATTTTTTTTAATATTAAAGGTGACTACTTATAGTCCCTGACACTTTATTAGTTAAAGCAGATAGTCAAGTCCGAAGACTAGACCACATGTTACATCAGTATTGTGAAAGTACAACTAGCCATATATACAACTTTTGGTTGCCTAATTAAGTAGTCCGCCCAAAGCATTAGTGCTATGCTAGGGGTTTTACACTAGATGTTATATCTATAGCCTAACTAGAAAGCTATCTAATTAAACTTTCTGGCTTCTACCGATGCTACATATTTCCTCCTAATATGTCTCTTTTTACAGGGACAATTTACCATTTAAGATGCTAAGACTTTAGCCAACAACAGAAAGCATTTATCCTTTTGGTAAATCTAATAGCACAGTATATATCCCACACATGTATTCAACTACATATTTGGTAACTTCTTCCTAACTAGTATATGTTGTGTTGTCACCAACGGGTTCGTATCTCAAGCCAACTTTTGGGGGCTGCCGTAACCCGATCTGTATCCTAAACACCAACCTTTCTAATTAGTCCTCCATTACATACTTCTGCCCTTGCAAGATTCACACAACCCAGTACCCCAATCCAACCGTCTTCTTACCCGGATTCTTAATCGGTCCCTCCCTTACTTCCAGCCGGCAACCCGGACAGGTTGGTCTGCCCAGGCTTTAGGTGTTTGAAGGATGCTCTCTCCTTGGTTCATACTTTTGGAGTGTATGCCCTTTTTCTCTGATGCGTCTACCCAGCGGTTTAGCTAGTGTGTCCTTCTACTA